ACTCAAAATTTACTAGAAGAGGAGTCCTCCGTTCTGCACATGGTTGCTCAACTGCCAAAAATACACAGATCTTGATTGTCTTGATCGTTTAGGGATTTGAAAGAAGAAGAGGAGCTAGGGAAAACAACGATACTAAACAGGATAGGGTCATTCGGGGGAACACGGTAGTTGTCGCGGTCAAATTATGGGCTAATCTGAAGAAAACGGGCCAACTTTTGACTAGGGTGCCCACCGGAAAAAGCCTATAAATGAGAATTCTCGACTTTTTTATGAAGAAACATCAAGCGTTATCGATTCTTTAGATATTCAGGTACCCAAAAATGGAGAAAGTGAAAAATCGATTTTTTGACCCAAACATCGGGTTTTCCAGACCCGTGACATGCCTTAATTTTGTTCCAAATTGAGTCAAATGGTGCGCACCATAGTAAACCTGGATTACGTCAGAGTTGCAATGCACAAATCTATGCTAGCAAACGACTCCTAGGCCTAGCCTTTGGTTTATTCTGGCTGCAAAGTTTAAAATCAAAGTCTTCTCTACTCTCATGACTATATGTTATATAAATTCAGTTTCTTAATTTTTCAATTTTGAATCGTACGTTTTCTGCTTGCTTTTCCTCTGCTTACGTTATTATTGTTTTATTTGAGGTTTATTTGGCGGAGGGAGATACACGGATAGCATAAATAAAGGAAAACAACCCACATTTTTTTTTCTAATCCTCACTCTCTGACTCCGACATACATGAACATTTTGTTTGCATCTTATAATCTAGAATGGATCCTCTTGTCCAATTAATTGGCTGGTCATTTGAACTTTGTAGGTCTGGATTTATTACGCAAGCTGATGTCGTTAAGGTATAAAAGCATTTATTACTCTCGTTACGGTGGCAGACCATTATTCATCCTCCTACTCAGAGGCGAAGCGTCTATATAAATAATTTAATACATGAGTTGTGGTGTTAGATCATGATTTATCCTACGAGTGAAATTGCCAAGTTGTAATCACAAGTTTAAAAAAACAACAACAAACAAACAACACAACCTATAATAACGTAAATATAAGCAAAGTAATAAGAAAATGTACGATTCAAAAGTTGAAAGAAACTGCATTAATATGGCATGTTTTTGTTAGAATAGAGATGATTTTGATTTTGATTTCAAACTTCGTAACCAAAACAAACCAAAGGCAAAGAGTTAGACTATTCTCTAGATTCTAGATCTAGATCTAGATATTAGATTCTAGATCTAGATTATCTAGATTCTAGATCTAACGCATTGCTTTAAATTGGTCAAAGATGAAAAAAAAGCCATTTTAACAACACAAGTTGTCAAGTTACTTGGGTGCTGACGTGCTGATTCTAAATATGTAGTTAGATATCTAGTTTTTGTCTATCGATTTCCGATATTCTGGATTTTATAAGGGGAGGTAAGAATATCAGAATAACAAGGGAAGTAACTTTTATCATTTCCAAAAAAGTAATTATCCAAGAGTGTTATACTCGTATATTGACTAATATCATATTTATCAATTACATATTGTTTTAGAGTTTAATCTTCTTTGATTTATATAGTTGATCATATAATATATGTAGTGATAGAGTTAATGTAAACAAAAATTCAAAAAGCAATGCAAGTGACCTAGACAGTGGGTTTTTTATTGTTTGATAAAGTGACTATCAAATTTCAAAACATTGTAATTTCTTCAATTTGTCTTTCATGAACATTTCATTTATTCAGGCTGATATAGCCTAGGCCTAGATTAGATCTAGATTCTAGATCGATTCTAGATCTGTGTGGCGCTATGTAGTAAAGTAAACTGTTTACTATTTATTTATTTAGTCGTGTTGTAGATCTAGATCTTTCATTTTGATAATTAAAATGTATTTAGATCTAGATTCTAGACCTAGATCTAGTGTCCACTGTCCGTCCACCCATTGTGTTTATCTGGTATGCTGCTACAATGTCTGAGAGCAAAAAGAAACTCCCAAACATCAGTTGTACTAGATCTAGATCTAGATCTTATTGATTTTAAAGAGGGCAGTTTAGCTGCACCTGACAAGTCGCATTATTATGATAACCATTAGAACAAATGATTATTTTATTCGAGAAATGAACTAAACGTAACAGCACCATACTCTGGCGTAGATCTAGAGATGTAGATCCCGGTTCATTACGGTGCCAATCATTTGACTCTATTTGAAACAAAATTAAGGGCACCGTAGATCTAGAAAGATTTGAACCTATACTCGACCATAAGAGACTGGGAGACTAGTGTTTGGTTGCCTACGGTGTGCGCGCTTTGCAGCGAATTATAAAAGTTTTTATTAGATTTAGATCTAGATCTAGATATCTAGATATCTAGATTCTAGATCTAGATCTAGGCTACTTTGCTTAGCCTAAACAGAGGGATAGAAGTAGAAGGCGAATATAGATCTAGTGCGCGGAGTAATTTATGCACATTTTTATATTTCACGCGTGAGATATCAGCTTATATTTCACGTGTGAAATATAAGGATATATTTTACCGGAAGTGCAATGCTAAAACAGCTCCAAGTATGGTATAAAATCAAATAATCACTGCTTCCCTTCCTAATTTTGAAACATTGTCGCAGTCAAATTCACCCATAGACGTAAACCTCATAAATTAAATGTAAAAAGACGTTCATAATCACCAATGAACAATAGACTATGCCTAACCTTCAAAACCGTTTCATTGCCACAGAAATAGCCTGTTCGCCCCTATTTCACTGTCGCATATACCCTGTTCACCCCTTTCGGGCCACAGTTATAAGCACCCAGACGCGCTGATTATCTAAGCGAACTATTACACTGGTCGAGTCTACCTCACAGATGTGAGGGGAACTAACTCCTAATAATCCTTTTACTCCTGCTACTACACTGCTAGTGCTTGTTTTTTTCCTCGACTTTTTAACGTCCTATAATCAGATCGTGACCTCGATTATGACAGTGGCTCCTGGCCGCGAAAAGCTAGACAAAAAACAGCCAAATGTGAAATAGAAAATTAATAATTGGCGTGCTCTACCAAAGCGTTTCGGCTGTCTGGTATAACATGCCATTGTAGTGCTGACATCTGTGCTTCTTTCCTTGGCGTTCGTGTGTTCAAAATTAAAGTTAAATTTAAGGTTAGTTAGAATATATATTTAATTAAATACTTTCCCGATCATTTTAGCGGTTGAACAAGCATACAACATGAATTCGGGATTTGTTTTCATTCACAACTCAAGAGTTGCCGCCTCCAGTGCCAGTAAGATTCTTGTGACTTGTGTGAGTGTGATATCTCAAGGCCCTATCTGGTCCCATTTCACTTTGATTACCCTGTCACACAAGTCAGCCTTCGCCCCTGCTCCTACTTATGAAATTGCCGGTTGTAGTCACTCGTTGAAACTCGTAATTACAATTTGGCAATTTCGCTCATGGGATAAGTCATGATCTACCACCACAACTCGTGTAATAAATTATTTTCCGACACAATATGTGATTGAATTTAACGTCAGGGGCGTAGATATGCGTGCTTTATTCACTTTTCTACGCCGTAAATGATTGAATCTAACGTCAGGTGCTTAGACATGCGTGCTTTATTCACTTTTCTACGCAGTAAGTGATTGAAGGTGAGGTCAGGTGCGTAGATATGCGTGTTTTATTCACTTTTCTTCACAATATGTGATTGAAGGTGAGGTCAGGTGCGTAGATATGCGTGCTTTATTCACTTTTCTACACAATATGTGATTGAATCTAACGTCAGGTGCGTAGATATGCGTGCTTTATTCACTTTTCTACGCCGTAAGTGATGATGACTGACAACACTAGTGTTTGAGCGCTTAACCAGCTGCTTACACTGTATGCTTCCCAGGAAGCTGAGAATGTTTCTGAGTGTTCTATGGTCTGCTGGGGTAATAATATAAGTGAGTCAGCGTGGTGGAATCAGGCTCTCGTCAAAATAATCAAAGTGAAGAAACTTGCATTTTTCCGCAGGTTTGTGAATTTTTATCAAATTTTTTATTTTTGGCTCAACACCTTTCATGCCCATCAAAGAACTTATTTCTGGGTTGAATTTTCCGAAAAACGTTGGTTAAAGGCACAAAAAAGTAAGTTTTCAGTTACCACGGACTCTTAAGCTAAGGTAATAATTAATCTTTGGCGGGGCATTTTCTCATTAATTTTACCTCTGAAAAGAGGTGACCCCACCTCCTTCATTTGCAAATATCTCGACTTGTATTCAAGATATAATAATATGGATATTTTTTCATCAAAAAAAAAAAAAAAAAAGACAAGTGAACAATCTTTAAGATGATACCAATAACTCTAAAAGCTCTAAAATTAACGAGAGCCTGATTCCACCACGCTGCATCACATACAGACTGTAAAGCGCATTGAGCTTGCTTTCGAGTGGGGGCATGCGCTATACAAATGTGAGGTGTGCTGACAAAATGAGTTACTTCTTTCGGATTTTAGCCAAATGGAAATTGATATAATCAACTTTATAGGTGGAGTTTGTTAAATTTGTAAGTATGGAATAATAAAAGACATGGCAGACTTGAACAAAATGGCATTAACTGAAAATCAATAAATCTGACCCCCGAGTTGATTTTCAGCCGATATCTCTATTCTTGGACCACGAGAAGTAACTCATTTTGTCAGCACACATCACAAATGCTATTCAAGATAAGATACATCTTTATTGTCCAGATCCTGGCACATTGGTTTGGTGTTCCATCACGAGTACACACACACACACGCACACACATACACACACAAACACACACACGTACACACGTGCACACACATGCACACACAAGTTGGCTTACAATCACATGCATAATATAAATGAGCAGCAATATAAACAATAATAATCATATGCTAGTTACACACTCAATGTTATTTTGATGCAATGGTCCAAGGTCGTAAGTACACTAAACAAGATGGTTAAACAAGATGGTTAATTATTATCAATTATGACTAACTCACCAAGCCTCTCCCCTCAGAATGACCAGTTGGTCAGAGTGAAGAGTTATCTCAGCGATAAGGAGACAACCATCGCCCGGGCCTTCATCCAAGGCATGTGTGGAGAGACGCTAATAGCCTGCCCGAGTCTGGCACAGCTGAATGACCCCTCCATCCCCACCCCCTTCTACCAGTACGACTGTCAGATCCTCTACCTACAACCTTGTGACCAGTGCAACGTGACGTCACTGAGTGTTGCCACGGGCGTGGGCGTCCCTAACAACAGACGTGCTGGATGTGTGGTCGGGCTGGTTGTTATGGCGTTGTGTGTTTCTCTGTGTCCGGGGCTTCTTCTTGATGTGTTGACACGTCTGCCGTGAGGTTTGGTACTACTGCTTCTTCTTTCTATCCCCCCTCTCCTTTGTCTTTCATTCTCTCTCTCTCTCTCTCTCTCTCTCTCTCTCTCTCTCTCTCTCTCTCCCTCTCTCTCTCTCTCTCTCTCACATACCAACACACACACACACACACACACACACACATACACACACTCACACACACACACACACATACACACATTCACACACACACACACACATGCTAACACTTACTTCCTAACTTACTCACTCCCTATACATCAGGGTCATAAGACGGAGAGCAGTTGACGCCACGCTTGTCTGTCCCTGACCACGTCCTCCAGTTTTGGCAAATCCTGGCCCTCGGTGATTGCCTCATCCCTTATTGTGCCTCTATAGCTTCGAGTTGGTCTTCCTCGTTTTCTTTTTCTAGTTGGTTTCCAATGCTATGTCTGAAAAGGCAATCTTGTCTTCGGCATTCTTAGAATATGCTCTGGATATCTCCATCTTCTCCTTTTTTGTGGTTGTCTTGATATCTTCTATTCCAGCTCTTTCCGACACTTCATTATTTATAATAAATTCATACATTTTTATTAGTAAAATTCTCCGCAAACATTTTGTTTGAAAGCTTTTACCTTTTGGATGGATTGTTGTGTTTGTTTTCCATATCTCTTAAACAAACGCCAATACAATGTCAACCGAAATATTGCTGTTGTATGCATTGGTATTTTAAATTTCGCCTTCAGTGAAATGATCTTTGACTTCCGTAATGTAGTCTTTAATTTCACAAAAGCGATCCATGCATTAAAAGTTTTTGGTGGACGTCGTCAAGGCAGTTTGCAGTTTTGGACATAATGCTGCCAATGTACTTAAATTTACTAATTTTTGCAAGGGGTTCTCCTTAAAGAGTGTCGGAATTAGTTTCTGATGATAGTCGTAGTACTACTGTTTTAGATACATTTATTATAAGGCCAACTTTTGCCACAGCTTTTGCTAGCTTGTCAGTTTTTAAAAAATTGCATTTCATGTATTGTGGTGTGGTTAATAGGCAGATGTCATCTGCAAAAATCTAGATCTCCTAAATATGTCCCATGTGTCCATCCAATGCCTGTTTCAATGTATTTACTGTCTGCTGTCTCATTACAAAATCCATCACAATTCCAAAAAGTGCAAAACAGCGCCAACCCAGGCTTGGTAGGATACAACATTTGAGTAACTTACTTGTTTTTTGTTTGTTGGTTTGCTTGTGTGTTTGTTTGTTTGTTTGGTAAGTGTTTTACGTTGCTCGCGACTGCATAAGGTCATATATATTAGCGCGCTGGGCACATTAAACATTTTCAGTAGGTAGGACATTTTGAATTTTGCCTGAGGGACGGCCGAAGCCTACTCTGCTCAATTTTGGACCACCAGGGGATCTTTAACGTGCGCAACTTGCATAAGGGACCTCCGAAAATTTTCGCCCTTATTCAAGAAAGCTAGGAGTACATGTTTCCTACCATAAGATCAGGGCTGTGGCTGAAAGACAGCAGTAAGAAGGAGTCAAGGAGAAGCAGTAGAAAGGCTGCGGATAGAATGAGGAGCCCAGAGGAGGGGGCAAGGGACGTGAGGGGGTGGGGGCAGAAAGTGGAGACGAAAACAGACGACAGATCTTTGTTAAAGAGCAGGGAAAGATGTGAAAAGAAAAAAAATTTAGAGAAGAAAAATGTCCATCGCTATCGGGATTCGAACTCGGGACCTATTGAATGAGAGGTGAACACCTAACATCTAGACCACAAGACCCCCCTAACTTACTTGTGTGTGTGTGTGTGTGTGTGTGTGTGTGTGTGTGTGTGTGTGTGTGTGTGTGTGTGTGTGTGTGCCACTAAAATAGTTTTATTTGCAGGTTCAGAAAAAAAAAATCTTCACTCGCTGCTAATAAACTTTTTAAAGACTAAAGACGAAAACCGAGTTATTTCAAATTCAATGCACGCTAATATCTTTGAAAAAAGAGAAAAATAAAAAACAAACAGAACATCTTAAATATTTTAATCCTCATCAGATAAGGAAGCAAGATCAAATAAGGTCATATATCTAGAATATACAAAATATATCTGGTATATTTACATCTACTGGCAAATGAAACATTGAAGAATATAACTTACTAATACTAATACGGGGAGCCCACTACGGATGGGATAGGGCGATCGGCCGGCCCCATCTCGCCGTAGTGGGCACCCCGTATCAGAATCACAATCGCTCAAACTTCTTCCAACAAAACAATCAATCTCAACATCAACGACAGAAACATGTCAATGACAAGCAGAACATGGCATTCACGAGATTGAGGCTAGTCGAACGTTTTACGCCGCTGGGAGCTTCTGTACCTGGTGGAGCAAGTATGCTCTTCGTGGGTGGTTGGCGGGTGCTCTGGTGTGGTTTGCTCCTTCTTTTCTACTAAACACTTATCGTCTGAATCTCCCCTCCTTTTTTTTATCGTGTTTGTTACTCTCTTGTAAATGTAACGTGATTGAAAACCCTGGACTCAGATATCTCAAAGGTGAGTGGAACAGAGATCGAGTCTTGTTGTTAAACTTTGATTTTCTAGCAAACGTTTTGCGGCACTTGCAATACGAACAGGTCTTATAAGTGTCAAAGATTAGAGGTGTTACTAGATAGTACCATACAAAAAAAGAAGGAGTTGAGATAAAATAAGGACGACAAATGTTTGATAGGACAGAAGGAGGCAAATCACACCAGAGCACCTGCCACACGCCCACCGTGTTGTTCTGGGGGTCACAAAATGATCTCATCGACATAGCGAGACCGATTTCTGGTGTTACGTTGTCTTCTGTCACGTGACCAGCACAATGTCCGTTGGGCTTTTGATCTGGCTTGCCCAAGGAGGCGTGATGACGTCAGATGAGGTGAGATGGAATGAGAATGGGCGGTTGGAGGGTGCTTCTTGTAGGTACGGCTTTGTTGTTTTTCTTTGTTGTTCTTGCACACTTTTGCTTCTGTCTGTCATTCTTGCTTTCCCCCACAGCTAAAAGTTCGTTATTTGAGTTGTTTGTCTCTTTCTTTTGAGGTAGGAGCAGCTATGGCATTGTGCCGCCTGCAGTGATACCTAGTAAATATGTAAGCAAGTAAGTTGTCTCTTTCCTCTGACTACTGTAAGCAGAATGGACTCAGTCAGGTGCTTCCTTTGGTTGATTTTTGTTTTTTTTGGTAAATGTTTTACGGCGCTCGCAACCTTTGTTTGAGAGCCTGAGGCTTTTAGTCTAGGCGCTTGTGTTGAACGTCTCCATCTCCTCTCTCCCCGCCTCTCTCTCCACGGGCTTCCACAAGGGCGACGGCTGCACAGAGTTGTACAGTCTCTGGGAAATATAAGCAGTTAAAAAATAACTGGCGTGGCCCCCTTTCGAAGAAAGGAATGATCGGTGTATTGACATCAACTGAATATCATTGGTCTACTATATTTACACTCTACTGGAATGGAGTAATACATCTTGAGAGAAAAGTGGCACGTGTGTTTCCAAGTTGCCAAATATATAATAGATGCATAGATTGATTCTGTAATCCCGTGTCGTGGTTGTACAGAAGCGTGGTGATTGTTCCCAGTAGCAAGAAAAAGAATTTGACAAAGGAGTCCAGAAAAAGTGATGATGGGCATCAAACGAAAGGATCACGGTCGAATTTAGCACCAAGTAAAAAAAAAAAGAAAAGAAAACATGAGGCTAGATCTATACGGGTCACACACTTAAAATAGTGCTCAGTATTGCGCGACAATGCGCGATAGTATCGAACGGAAGTACGACTTGAAATAAACAAACCTGGCGGATTTTCTAAAATTACAGAGACAGAAGCGTCGACCTACAAAAGCGATCGGGGCAAAATAAAGAAATTCAGCTTTTTGAAGCAAAACTGTCTCAAAACTGAAAAAACGAAGGGCGTCATGATCTGGAGAATATTTTAAAGAATCTTTCGGAGAAAACCGCTTGTCGATCGAGGCAGCCATTAAAAAGCCTTTTGAATAGCAAAATTCGGCCACCAAAAATAGATAATAGATGTGTTCCAAAGCAAATGCCTGTGTTTTTGCGTCTCCATCGAGACAATTTAGGTAATATTAGATAATTTTATGAGACATGCTTTGACCCTGGCTGTCGGGGCAATCCCAGACTGAAAAAGGATAAAACTTCCTAGCAAAAAAGACTGAGACACTCGATTGAAATTCTCCTCACATAGGAATCGAACTCATGCCCTCTACACGTTACAGCGGAGGGTCTAACCAACACACCACAGATGTCGATGAATGAGATGTTGCAAAGGGGAGATTGGATGAGATGAGATGAGGTGAAACTTGACTAAAATTTGTTTGCTTGATTTGACCAAAGAGAATAACATCGATACAGTTAATGACCATTTCCTGATTTAGTGCTGGGGAAAAATAAACAGACAAACAGAAACAACAGAAAGGATGATGTAGTGACCAAAGATGAGGTGAAATCTAGTGACGTACGATGGAGTGAAATCTAGTGACGTAAGATGAGATGAACCCTAGTGACGTAAGATCAGGTAAAAATCTTGTGACGTAAGATACGGGAATAAACCCTGTGACGTAATTAAGATGAGATAAAACCTAGTGATGTAAGATCGGGTAAAAACCTTGTGACGTAAGACGAGGCAAAATTTTGTGACGTAAGATAAGGTAAAATTTAATGATTTACGATGAAGTTAAATTTGGTGATGTATGATGAAGAGAAATCTAGCGAAGAAAGATGGGGCGAAATTGAGACACATCAGATGAAGTAAACTCTAGTGACGTAAGATGAAGATGACATGGAGTGACGTAAAATGTTGGTGAGATGACGTGGCGTATAATCAGGTGAAATCTAGTAACGTAAGATGAAATGAAATCTAGTGACGTAAGATAAAGTGAAATCTAGTGGCGTAAGATGAAGTGAAATCTAAGTGAAATCTAGTCACGCAATATGAAGTGAAATCTAGTGAAGTAAATGAAGTGAAATTTTGTGAGGTAAGATAAAGTGAAATCTAGAGACGTACGATGACATGAAATCTCGTGGCGTAAGATAAAGTGAAATCTCGTGACTCAAGATG